ATCAGCGTGACAGGGGGCAGTGCCCAAACCCCCTGATCGCCCTGTGGCTCTGTGTGTGACACAGAGATTAACCACGGGCCCTGCTCTGTGTGTGATGGGGTAGAGTCATAACCTCCCCATTGGCCCTGCCCTGAGTGTGACAGTGGCAGCGCCCCAACCACCTGATTGGCCCTGCTCTGTGGGTGATAGAGGGCGGCGCCCCAACCCCCTAATCCGCCCTGCCCTGAGTGTGACAGGGGGCGGTGCCCCAACTCCCCTATTGGTCCTACTCTGTGAGTGACAGGGGGGAGCTCCTCAACCCACTGATGGTCCCTGCTCTGTGCATGACAGGGTATGGAGCACCAACCCCGCTGATGGGCCCTGCTCTGTGCGTGACAGGGGAAGGCGCCCCAACGCCCCAATCAGCCCTGCTCTGAGCCCGACCAGGGGCTGCACCTAGGGACTGGGCCTGCCCTCTGCCACCCGGGAGCAGGCCTAAGCCAGCAGGTTGTTATCTCCCGAGGGGTCCCAGACTGCTAGAGGGCACAGGCCGGTCTGAGGGACCGCCCCTTCCCCCAGTGCACAAATTTTTGTGCACCGGGCCTCTAGTATATTAAATAAAAGATTAGGCACACAGTAAGCTATCAACTTTCATTACATTAGCACCAATGTAAAAGGGAAAAAACTAAATTATGGAACTCTCTTGTATGTGTAAGGGGAGATAAATTAGACAAGATTATTTTGTCTTGCTTTACTTTTAAATAGCTTTGTGTGTTCTGAGTCTTTAAATAGATGTGTTTATAGAAATAGAAGCAGACACACAACTTATAAGGAGAGATAAAAAGAATCTTTATCCTAAAACTAACTTTTAAATCTGACTTACTCCATAAAAGCCACTAAAACAAACAAAAAAAAGAGCTTCAGACCACATCACTTTTAATCATTTAGTCTGAATCATGAGTGTAGCAGTCACGTTTTCTCAAGCTAAACTGAAAACTAGAAAAATGAATGTTATATACCTTGGATTTTATGCAGGATAGAGCAATCAAGTGAAGTCTTCGAGATACTGTAAAATTCTTCCTGGAGAATATGTTCTCAGACAGTAAACTCTAAATTCAAATTCCTGGCAAAAAATAAAAAATATGAGTTTGATTTATGGCAAATTCAATACACAGTTTATAATGCCTCATACTCAGCACTACAATACTGTTAAAGGCACTAATGATTTCAGGGAAGGGGAAATAGACTTAGGAAACAAAAGTTTTAACCGTAAAAGCTTAAAGAACTTTTTTGTTTTATCAGAATGCAACAGTATATCATTAAACTGAGAGCACCTTCACTTTTTAAATACTTCAATTCTAATTTCAGCAATATGGGCTTTGCAAAACATAAGCTATGCTGTCATTCTACCAGAAAATTCCAAAGAAGCTAACATAAAGCCATCTTGACATATATATGTAGTTAGTATTCTTAATTCTATAGTTTGTAAACTTATCTAAAATGAGTTTATTTTAATGCTCTGCTAACTTATTCTCCCTTGGCCAATTCCTTTTATACAGTTTAGTTTCACCTGAAACTGATTTTTTATAATTCATACGACAACCATCACAGTAACTCTAAGACGTGTGCCTAAAAGCATTTTGATAAAAGTATACAGCAAACATTCCAATAAAGAAACAGCCAGTAAATTAAACAAATATCTAGTGGAAGCCAATATTCTTCCTAAACTAATTTACTACTAATATTCAAATAAGTTTAAATATTGCACAAAATATTTAGCAGTTATCAATACTGAAAAGGTTTGCCTTGTGAGTAATATTCAGGGATTGTCAATTACGAGCAAAGGATAGTAAAAAAAAACACTAGGGGAGCAAAAGACACACTAAGGAATACAGGACGGATGCATGCCTACACTGAAGGAATTCATAAACCAGCTTAAATAAACACCCACACATTAACCTGAAAATTGTGAACCTTACCAAGTAATGGATTCAATTTAAAAAATGCAATAAAATTAGAAATACAAAGCAGAAGAAATGGTAAGATTAAACCGGTAAACCAAGAACAATGTTCCCTCAATACCCATGCCCCTAATGTCAGGAGAGATCAAGAGAGTTGAGGATCAAGCTAGGAAGGAGGAATAGGAATCTAGTGATTGAGGGAAACATACTAAAGTAAAAAGTAGCAAAAAATAAAAATAAAAGGCCAGAACCAGGAACATAGGATTTCTAAAGTGCATGCATACTTATAGTTTTAAAAATATTAACACCCTCAAGTGGGCAGAGAAAAACTAATCTTCTAAATTGGTGTTATGAAACTTTATTCTGACCTAGAAGTCCAATACTACTGAGATTTACTGCTGGAAGTGATACAAGGTGCATTTTACTTAACAAATCTAAAAGGCTAATTTTAATTTCTATATATCCAGACAAGAACCAACTGCCAAATCTCTACTGTCATGATTTTTGAAGTTCTAAGAAAATATATATTAGAAATAGTAACATGAAGGGGAGAGGGGCTGTAGGCTGTCAAGACTAGTATAAATATATATACTATTGTGCACAATCTATAAATATATTCAAGTATCCATATGGAGAACTCAATTATATTTAAAATATGGAATACAATGTATTTTATAATATTTAACATAAAATTTAAGTATTTAACATTTTACATTAATCATATCTAACAAAGTCAGAACTAAGACTATAATCAACTCAGCTAATTTTTTTAAATGCAAGTCTATGTACAAAGCACTGTGATAAATATTACGGATATGTGGCTATGTAAGAGATCCCTGCCCTCCAAAAACCAACTATCGAGGAAAAGAAATAAACAAATCATAGCAAACTAAATATCTAAAAACCAACCATGTGCCAAGAACTGTGCTTACTTTTAAATCACCTAATTTAATCTTCATAATCTCATGAGCTACATATAACTCTATCTTTCAAATGAAGAGAACGCCAAGCTTTCACAATTTCTCTGAATTTATAAGGTGCCTATGTCATGCACTACTATTCTAGGGTTAGAAATAGAACACTTCAAGTGAGACGCGTTGGATCTTTTGATTCCCTATCCAGTACTTTGTTAATCACTGTAAATTACACAGAATTCACTAGTGTTAAACTAATAATTTTGAATGATGTTTCTGTAAACTCCCAATCCAAAGCTCTAAGTAGAACTGAAAAGCTTTCTCTATTTCTACAAGTCTTCTCCTCGACATCTAGCACAACTAGCTATCCACATAAGTCAGTCAATAAATTAAACTAGAATAGAGCCTATCAATTGATAAGTTTTTACAATTCTGTCTCCCAAGTCCTAAAATACTATTCGGCCACATGAAGAACCAGCTCTAGTTAAATCTCCTTTGCCACCATTTTAATTATCTTAAGGGGAATTTCAGGGTTTACCATATGTAACACGGAACACATGGTATCCTTAAAACAAGATGCTATAAACCATCGGTAAACAGACTTTAAACTGGTTCACCGTGAGTTATTTTACACACACAACCCTTCCCATCAAATTATTTATCCTCAATTGGCTAGAATTACATAAAAACGCAAATAAATTCGTAGCGGTTTTTCCAATGGAAAGGTTCTTATCTAAACAGCAGCGCAACCATTACAAGTAGACTGCAACTGGAAAGAAAATTCACATGAGGAATAATTCCCCACAAACTTGAAAAGGCGCTGCTGCAAGATGTCTGAGATAGCTAATCTCTTAAATCAGTTTCGGTCATATTTGCTTTAAAAAAAAAGTCTGATGTATAAAAAATAGTTGCCAGTACTGCTGCTTGGTTCTGATGAGATAAATCTTAAAAGTAAATAAAGCCAACTTACGGACTTTCATTTAAACGAGGGCAAAGTCACTAGCCTCAACTCACCACTCCACCCACTCACCCCTCCAACTACCAGTCATGGCTGCACCATTTCTGACACGATGTAATGGGCTGAATCATTTGCTGAAAGGACACGGCTCCACTGGTACCGCTGGACAACTAACTGCCCTTTCGGCCCGGAAGTCGTAGGGCCGCGCTGAGATTGATCGGCTCAGGCCCGCTCCCCACGCCAGGAGCCCGTAACTAGGCACCAACTCCTCGTGTCAACAGCGTCCGGTTCCTCCAAAACAGTAGGTTGCCAAGGGGATCCGAGAAGATTAACCACAGAGAGAATTTTCCCGAAACACCAAGGGCCCGAGGTGGATGCGGGATTCAGTTACAAGAGACAGAACAGCATCCTACACATAGTAAAATAACAAAAATGAGGCGTAAACCGACGGGTAGCGTGAAGCCGAGGAAAAGGAGTTTAAAGATGATGCGGGGTGTCTACTACCCAGTGCACTTTGCTGCACATCGTAATTACTTTACCAAAATCCTAAAGGCCCAGAAGAAAGGTGGCGATCCCAGCCAATGAGGAAAACCCAAGTAGCACCGCTCGCGGCCTCAGGAGCCAGAAGGCGGGGAACGGAGGGAGGAACCGCGCGTGCGCGGGCCCAGCCTTCAACCGGGCGCGCGCCGGGGTCCAGGCCGAAGAAATGGGGGAAGGGTTGAGGAGGAGGATATGCGCACGCGCACGGGAAGGCCGCGCGGTCTCGGGCTCTCGACCAGGTTTTTAGTCAGGCGCGCGCGCACTGTTCTCGCTGCTAATCACCACCCCCCCGCCCCCGACCTTTTGGCTCGTAGTACCTCAAAAACCTGAGGGAATCTGACGGGGAAACACATAAATAACGGCACAACGTCTCCTGGGTTTTGCTGTCGCCGCCAACCCGCCACCACCCACAAAAGACTCAGCACTCACTACCCTTGAGTGAATGCGCTACCCTGAATGCAGCATGAGGCCTACCTGACACGCCGAAGCAAGGTTCCCGGGACTTATCTTCGTTGTAACTACACAGCGGCCATTTCCCGACTGAAGAACGGGAGGAAAACCATAGAGCTATCTTCGACGCGCTAGCTCCCCTCCGTCACTTCCGTTTTGGGGCGTGGCCTCTGGTGCCGCTAAATAGCTGAGCAAGCCCCGCCCACCTTTTCGCCTTAAACCGGCTCCCAGGCCGCTGTTAAGACGTTGCCTGAGGCTTTCTGGGAAGTCTCGTGGCTGATCTCGCGCGAATTCCCGCGGCCCCGCCCTCGGGCCCTGAGCGGCCGCCTCAGAGCGGATGGAGGGAGATAGTGGGCGGAGTGATCGGCCAGGGCCGTGAGGTCGCCTCGACCCACGGTGGCGTTAGCGGGCGTCTCTCCTCGCTCCGAGGGGACCCTCGGAACCTGTCTTTCGCCCCCGTTTTTTTTGCCGTCTGGTGCATTCCTTATTAGACGGAGCCAGAAACAAAGGCTCGATCCCCCACCGAGGAAAAGACGGGAGACGAGGCCGAGCTCGGCTAGCGCACGTCGTGTCCCTACGCCAGAAAGCGCCGGGTTTCTTCTTGGGCGCCTGACTGTAAACTAGGAAGTGTCGCGCTCGCTCTGATAGACAAGGTGCCGAGCGCACTTCGATAGGAAAATGGCCACGCTCCGACTCTCTTCCCTGAGTAGCGTGTGACCACCTCGGCTGCCCCTGACGGAGCTCGCCCGCAGGACTCGCGGGGGCGCGGGCTGTCGGGCGCGTTTCCTCACAGTTTGCTTCTTTCCTCACGACGTGGTGCGGCTTCACCGCCGCGGCGGATCGGCCGTCCGCATAAAAATAGAGCACGGAGCATACGGATCCCGTGTGCCGGCCGGAAAACGGCCCCACATAGCTGGGTCTGCCAGAAATAGGAGGTTATACATAGGCCAGCCACGTTTGAGTCGGATAGGACGTGAACGAAGAACCACCGCACATGTCCGGTTAGTGCCCCTGGGAGCCGCACTTGCCTCCTAAGGGCCTGTAACCGCGACAGCTCCGATGTCTGGGGGCGTAAACCACCTGAAGGGACTTCAAAGCTGCCGTCAGCACCCCGTCTTCCGTCCGTTACGTCCGCCGTCTTGGCCCTCGCTGCGAGTTTAACACTGTGCTTAAGGCCCCCTCCCCTCACAGTCCAGTTCAACTGTTGAAAGTATTTATTAATAATTATGAATTCTTGGTTTTCCCTTCATACACAGGCTGCCGCCCCCCACCCCCCAGGACCTGGTAGCAGTCATCTTCGGCCTATGTGGTGCCCTGGGAGTCCCGAGCATCGAGCAGGTGCTCAGCAAACACTGAATGGGTGAACTATATGAAAAGAATAAAAACTAGTCATTGGCGGCTCAGTACAACTCCTCTGTTCTGCATGGATTTGGGCGAGGGGTAGGGTTAGGGGGCGGGGGCCTTAGTGCCAACAGCACTTACCCGCCGTTTCCCCAATACACCGAAATCGGAACGTAGTCATTTGCAGCCTAGGACGTTATCTTAAAACCTTTTCTGCAATTCCATTGCGTACACACTGAGAATAAGTCACCTTTCCGAGGCAGGTTAACTGTGATGTGAAATAACCCGAGGTAGTAAGTAACAAAGAAGGAGACACATTGGAACAGATTTCTCTTGAACTAAGTCCATTTGATACACGATACTTGATTCTACCTACTTCTTGGTAATAAAACTTTCGTTTCCTGTTGAAAATACAAATAATGTCAAAAAGAACATTGAGTAAAAATTGAGCCCATTTAACAAAACAGAAAATTATCCCAAGAAGTGTAAGTTGTAAATAAATGACCAACATTACTAGTAAGATAAGTACATACAAATGGAATATTGAAATATTTTACATTGAATTACTAAATCAAATTTTAGTATATAGGTCATTGGTAAATTGACTGTAAATATGTTGATAAAACTATTTTCTTAGAAGTATTTGCTTTGTTTCATAATCGAACGAACCAGGAAGGCCCTGGCCAGGTAGCTCAGTTAGAGCATTGTCTCCAGATAGACTCGAGTCACAGGTTCCAACCCTCGTCAGAGCACATACAAGAATCAACCAGTGAGTGCATCAATAAGTGGGAACACATCGATCGATCCCTGGTCGGGGTCTGAGTGGGGATGTATGGGAGGCAACCAATCGATGTCTCTCTCTCTCTCTCTCTTTAAAATCAATAAATTTTTTAAGTATAATTTTATTGATTTCAGAGAGGAAGGGAGAGGGAGATAAAGAAACATCAATGATGAGAGAGAATCACTGATTGGCTGCCTTCTGCACACCCCCAACTGGGGATGGAACCTGCAACCTGGGAATGTGCCCTTGATGGAAATTGAACCCAGGACCCTTCGGTCCGCACATAGACGCTCTATCCACTGAGCCAAACCAGGTAGGGCTCAATAAATTTTTAAAAAGAGAAAGAGAAATAACCAGGAGGCTGGAAAGGACAAAGACAAGATAGAGGAAAAAAGGGGACATATGTTATACTTTGAACAATAAAGACTTTTTAAATAAGGAAAGAAAATGGAGTTGGAAGGCTAGATCATCAAGGCAAACTCTCATTCTACTGGTTTTGTTTGTCTTTTTAGGTTGAACTATGTCAACTGCTTTCCTATTTGGGGAAGTTGAAGTGGAGCGGGGATTTGGAGTCTCCCTGTTCCCACTCCCTGAGAATGGCGACATTGGGAACCCAACAATAGTAGACAAACAGGAAACTGAGGAGATGGAGCCAACAGAGGTTTCCAAACTAGACAGTTGTAGGGAGGGTGTTGGCTATAATTACTGTGGCCTCCTCTGTTCCTATCCTTTCCTAGGCTTTGCAATGATTCCTTTTTTTATTTTTTGTAATTCTGGTAAAATATGCATTGATGCTTTCACCTAGCTGATAACTTTCAGTAAATTCCTTTTCTGAGCCCTAACCGGCTCAGTAGATAGAGCGTCAGCCTGCGGACTCAAGGGTCCCAGGTTCAATTCCTGTCAAGGGCATGTACCTTGGTTGCGGGCACATCCCCAGTAGGGAGTGTGCAGGAAGCAGCTGATCGATGTTTCTCTCTCATTGATGTTTCTAACTCTCTATCCCTCTCCCTTCCTCTCTGTAAAAAATCAATTAAAATAAAAAAAAAAAAATAAATAAAAATCATCATTCTCCCCTAAAAAAAAAAAAAATCGGTTTTAAAAAGCCGAAACCGGTTTGGCTCGGTGGATGGAGCGTTGGCCTGCGGACTGTAAGGTCCAGGGTTCGATTCCGGTCAAGGGCATGTACCTGGGTTGCGGGCACATCCCCAGTGGGAGATGTGCAGGAGGCAGCTGGTCGATGTTTCTCTCCCATCGATGTTTCTAACTATATCTCTCCCTTCCTCTCTGTAAAAACTCAATAAAAATATATTAAAAAAAATTCCTTTTCTGGATGAGTTAACCAGAGTTTGTTTCTGTTGCTCCCACCCAAGAACTGAGTAAAGGTAGTTTCTGTTTATGAGGACATTTCCCAAATGGTCTGGCATTTTTCCATATCTGCACCAATGAAACCAATGGGTCCCTCGACTAACCTATTTCATTTCCTACTGGTGAACACAAGTTGACTGGGTTTCCTCCCCCATCTTTCTATTCTCTTTTGCCTACTAAGAAGGCAGAGGGTTTTGTGTTTATTTTTTTCAAGGTTTAAAATTACAAAAACTTATTTATTCAATAATTATTTATTACAGTATCATTCCCTAATAGTCATCTCTCCATTTTGAAAAATAATAAATCAAAATGTTACTGTTAACTGTTGTTTCTAAATCTCACCGAGACTAATGTGTATCATTTTCATGAAGATTATTGCAACAAACGGGACATGCAATACTTACAAAGTTTTCATAAGAAGTCTTTGACTAAAAATTATGCCAGCTTGCTATTTAATGTAACTACTAAAGGACCTAAAATGAGGTAATGGGATTATGATTAGAATTGTCATCAAAAATATTTATTTAAGAGAGGTTATAAGAGGAACAGAATACCTCCTTCCTTTAAATCAGTTACCCAGTTGCAGACATGTCTCTGTCTGCTCCCCAGAAAGTCTAAATGCTCAGTTCTCATTACAGAAATAATTTATCTCACAAGCAGAGGGCTAAAAACCACATAGGCAAAGGGCTAAAATAAAATATTATCCAAACAAAAGTGGTGAAATAATACATTGTGGGGAGAAAAGGGAGGCAATAACCCTTTGCTCTCCAGATTTCTTGGGTTAATGAAATTTCAGCCCCATTGCTTATTTTGAACTAAAATTAAGCTTGGTATAGAGAAGAGAAGCCTGGTATATAGGTCAACATTGGTATTGACAAACCCTAGTACTGGTGTTTCTCGAAATGTGATATATAAACTCCACCTCCTGATTATAACGTGCGTTGCTTATTTGAAAAATAAATCACTCTACACACTTAGTCTCATGTGGGTGTAGGCATACCCATGAAAGTTTGAGAACCAGTGATTTATTGAGTACTTATAACACTCCAGATATTATGGGGCTACAAAGCAGAATAAGGTATTTTTGCTGCCTCTGTGTTGGAACTCAAAATTTAGCAGAGATAGGGTGTAACTCCCATAGCCAAGAGAACAAAGAGACTTCGTAGGAATGAGTGCCAAGGGTGAAGAGGGAAGGCCTGCCTTTTAAAGAAGTACGTAGTGGAGTTTCACTACTTATTCATTCATTCAGTCATTCAACAAGTACACATGAAGTCTGTGCAATGTACAGGTACTGAGCTAGGTGCCTGGAATGGGGCAGTGATAAAGGCTAACACTGACACTGCTCTCACGGAGGCTGCCGCTGTAGGGAGGGAAACAGAACACACGTAAACAGACATAATACAAATCTGACGCTGATAAGGAAGTGATGGAGAGTAACAAAGGAAAACTTCCTTTAGAAAGGATGCATCCTCAGGGAAAGTACCTGTGAGCCAAGATTTAGGGGGAAATCTAAAAGATAAGGGGAAGGGAAAATAGCAGGAAGAATATTCCAGGTAGAGAGACTGACCTGTGGGAAATCCCTGGAGCAGAAAAGACCTCCTTATGCTTCTGGAACAGAAAAGATAGTAGTGAACGTTGTCAATCATTTTTAACCAAGAGCTATAAGGCAAACAAAAACTTTATTTGGGG